TAAAATGAATGTGTCTACACAACCAACCCCATTCCATCGACCTGAAGGGCTCTTAAAATCGACTTCTGTACTCCTCCCCGGCGAGGGGAGTAGCTCTAAAATCGATCTTGCTGGGTCGAATTTTGGGTAGTGCAGACGCAATTTGGTGGTATTGGCCTCCAGGAGCTATCCCAGAGTGCTCCAATGTGAGCGCCCTGGACAGCACTTTGAACTCTGATGCACTAGCCAGGTACACAGGAAAAGCCCAGGGAACTTTTGAATTTCATTTCCTGTTTGGTCAGCGTGGCAAGCTCAGCAGCACAGATGACCATGCAGTCCCCCCAGAATCGCAAACGAGCTCCAGCATGGACCGAAAGGGAGACACTGGATCTGATTGCTGTGTGGGGAGAAGAATCTGTGCAGGCCGAACTCCGATCAAAAAGAAGAAATGCTAATATGTATGCCAAAATCGCATAGGGCATGGTGGAGAGAGGCTACAACAGGGACACACAACAGTGCTGCGTGTAAGTCAAGGAGCTCAGGCAAGCCTACCAAAAGACAAAGGAGGCAAATGTTCACTCTGGGTCAGAGCCCCATACATGCCACTTCTATGATCAGCTGCATGGCATTCTACGGGGGGACCATACCACTACCCCACCACTGTCCGTGGACACCTGCAAGAGGGGAGTCTCACCCAACAGGGAAGAGGATTTTGTGGAGGAGGAGGAGGAGGAGAAGGAGAATGCGCAGCAGGCAAGCGGTGAATCCGTTCTCCCCGGCAGCCAGGACTGTTTCATCACCCTGGAGCCAATACCTTCCGAAGGCAGGATCCCTGACCCTGAAGCTGGAGAAGGCACCTCTGGTGAGTGCACATTTGTACCTACACTACAGGGTTTAAAAGCAATAGTGTTTAATGTTTGATTTGCCCTGAAGAATTGGGATGCATTCGCAGCCAGTACAGCTACTAGAAAAGTCTGTTAACGTGTCTGGGGATGGAGCGGGAATCCTCCAGGGACATCTCCACGAAGCTCTCCTGGAGGTACTCTGAAAGCCTTTGCAGAAGGTTTCTGGGGAGGGCTGCCTTATTTCATCCTCCATGGCAGGACACTTTACCACGCCAAGCCAGTAGCAAGTAGTCTGGAATCATTGCTGCACAAAGCATGGCAGCGAATGGTCCTGGGTTTTGGTTGCATTCAAGCAACATTTGGTCTTTATCTTTCTGTGTTAGCCTCAGGAGAGTGATATCATTCATGGTCACCTGTTTGAAATAGGGGAATTTTTGTAAGGGAACAGTAAAAGAACCCCGTTCATGCTGGGTTGTTTGTGCTTCGCTAAAAGGGATCATCCAGGAGAATAGCCACACAGCTGGGGGGAGGGGTGAAGGGATCATCCCAGAGAATAGCCACCCAGTGAGGTGGGGGGAGGTGTGTGCCTCACATCCAACCGAAAACCGCAGCCCCTCCTTTTAAATGTGAAATCCAACCGGCATTGCTTGCTATGGGAAAGGATGGCGCTGCCATTCCCACATGTTATGAAGGCGTAAGAACCCAACCCCACCTACCAAAAGGCTTACCATGGCTGCCTGGAAACCAAATTCTGTTGCCCAGCCGTTTGTGATGTGTCACCACACCGGCAGGCGCTCAATATAAAAGGCAAAATGCAACCTTGTACCTAAAGCACATGTGCTGTCTGTTGTGAATTGCTTGGTTCACTGTGAAAGAGTCTCCCTTTTGTTCTCAGAAATGTATCATCTTAAATTTTACTCTCCCTTTTTATCTCCCCCCAGGTGCAAATGTTTCTATGCTCCCCCTATCATCTCCGTCCCTGAGGTTATCGCAGATTAGAAGGCGAAAAAAACGCACTCGCAATGACATGTTTTCTGATCTCATGCAGTCCTCCCGCACTGATAGGGCACAGCTTAATGCATGGAGGCATTCAGTGGCAGAGGCCAGGAAAGCATTAACTGAGCGTGAAGAGCAGAGGCAGGAGGTGATGCTGAGGCTAATGCGGGAGCAAACGGACATGATGAAGCATCTGTTGGAGCTGCAGGAAAGCCAACAAGAGCACAGACCCCTGCTGCATCCATTGTGTAACTGCCTGGCCTCCTCCCCAAGTTCCATATCCTCCTCACCCAGACACCCAAGAACGTGTCGGGGGAGGCTCCGGGCACCCAGCCACTCCACTCCAGAGGATGGCCCAAGCAACAGAAGGCTGTCATTCAAACAGTTTTGATTTGTAGTGTGGCTACAATAAGCAATATGGCCTTGTCCTTCCCTCCTCCCCACCCAGGCTACCTTGTCAGTTATCTCACTTTTTTTTTAATTAATAAAGAAAGAATGCATGGTTTCAAAACAATAGTTACTTTATTTCCTTTGCCAGCTGTGATCGAAGGGTGGAGGGTGGCTGGCTTACAGGGATTAAAATCAACAAAGGGGGCGGGTTTACAGCAAGGAGAAACACACACAACTGTCACACCGTAGCCTGGCCAGTCATGAAACTGGTTTTCAAAGCCACTCTGATGCACAGCGTGCCAAGCTGTGCTCTTCTAATCGCCCTGGTATCTGGCTGCTCAAAATTGGATGCCAGGCAATTTGCCTCAACCTCCCACCGTGCCATAAATGTCTCTCCCTTACTCTCACAGATATTATGGAGCACACAGCAAGTAGCAATAACAATGGGAATGTTGGTTGCGCTGAGGTCTAACCTAGTCAGCAAACTGCGCCAGCGAGCTTTTAAACGTCCAAAGGCACATTCTACCATCATTCTGCACTTGCTCAGCCTTTAGTTGAACTGCTCCTTAGTACTGTCTAGGCTGCCTGTGTACGGCTTCATGAGCCATGGGAACAAGGGGTAGGTTGGGTCCCCAAGGATAACTATTGTCATTTCAACATTCCCAACGGTAATTTTCTGGTCTGGGAAGTAAGTCCCTTCTTGCAACTGCTCGAACAGCCTGGAGTTCTTAAAGATGCGCGCGTCATGCACCTTTCCCGGCCATCTCTCGTTGATGTCGGTGAAACATCCCTTGTGATCCACCAGTGCTTGCAGCACCATTGAGAAGTACCCCTTGCGGTTTACATACTGGTTGGCAAGGTGGTCCGGTGCCAAGATAGGGATATGTGTTCCATCTATTGCCCCGCCACAGTTAGGGAACCCCATTGCAGCAAAGCCATCCACTATGACCTGCACATTTCCCAGAGTCACTACCCTTGATTGCAGAATGTCAGTGATTGCATTGGCTACTTGGATCACAGCAGTCCCCACAGTAGACTTGCCCACTCCAAATTGATTCCTGACTGACCAGTAGCAGTCAGGCGTTCCAAGCTTCCACAGGGCTATCGCCACTCACTTCTCAACTGCCAGGGCTGCTCTTATCTTGGTATTCTGGCACTTCAGGGCAGGGGAAAGCAACTCACAAAGTTCAAGGGAAGTGGCCTTACGCACACGAAAGTTTTGCAGCCACTGTGAATCATCCCATACTTGCATCACTATGTGGTCCCACCAGTCTGTGCTTGTTTGCCGGGCCCAGAATCGGCGTTCCACTGGATCAACCAGCCCCACTGCCACCTTGATGTCCCAATTGCCACAGCCCGTGTTTTCTGGAATGTCTTTGTCCATGTCCTCATCACAATCGTCTTCGTGCTGGCGTCTCTTAGCCCGGTTCTGCACATACTCCAGGATAATGCGCTAGGTGTTTACAATGCTCACAACAGCAGCAGTGAACTGAGCGGGCTCCATGCTTGCCGTGGTAAGGCATCTGCATGGGCAACCCAGGAAAAAAGGTGCGAAAGAATTGTCTGCCATTGCTTTCACGGAGGGAGGGAGGGAGAGGAGACGGACGACATGTACCCTAAACCACCCGCGACAATGTTTTTGCCCCATCAGGCATTGGGAGCTTAACCCAGAATTCCAGTGGGCAGCGGAGACTGTGGGAACTGTGGGATAGCTACCCACAGTGCACCGCTCCGTAAGTTGATGCTAGCCACGGTATTGAGGACACACTCCACCGACTTATGTGCTTAGTGGGGACATACACAATCAACTGTGTAAAATTGATTTCTAAAAATCGACTTCTATAAAATCAACCTAATTTCCTAGTGTAGACGTACCCTGAGAATAGTCACATCACAGTGGTACTCTGGCCACACCCGCTTTCCCTTGGTCACACCTCCAACTTGTTCCCTATGCTAGTGGCTAAAAGAGAGGTTGGTAGAGAACTGACTTTACATCATCTGAGGGTTCCCCTTGCACTAGGCTTTCCAGCTGTTATGCATCACTGGAGCAGTGCAAAGCAGCCTGAAGGGCTGCAGATCTGGCCCTGAGTGTGTACCCATACCTATGACTTTCATATAATGGCACATGATAAACTATGGGAGCTCAGAAAGTATGCTAACTAAAACTACTCTGTATATTAATAATCTATCTGTTCTAGGGTTTTATACTGTCACCCGTCACCATGGTATCTGTGCACCTTCCACATTAAATCAATAGCCAGAGCATCCTGAGTGTATTTCACAGCATCTCTGGTTCTTCTCCCTTTGCAGATAGAAACTCTGCTTCTCTCTCTCTCTCTCTCTCTCTCTCTCTCTCTCTCTCTCTCTCTCTGTGTATGGTGGAAAGATTTTTTTCAAAGAGGAAAGTTCTGGAGTGTTTTCAAAAGCCAGTCAGACTCTGGCTTCACCTAATCTCCTCTGGAAGTTCATTCCATAGCCAGAGCCCCTCAACGAATAGTGCTTTGAAAATCACAAGAAGAGTTTGGGATGTTATATATTGGTATATATGGTTGAAAGCATAAGTGCAGACTATTTACCCAATGACTAGGTTCAGACTAGTGAGGCAGACACTATGCAGGCCCTTTTTCTTTTTTATCCATTATTATTTAACTATTGCAATGGTGCCCAGAACCAGGGTCAGGACTCCATTGGACTAGCTGCTGTACAAACACATATAAAGACACAGTCACTGCTCCCAGAGACCTTGCAGTCTATGCTGTGAATGATCCTGGTTCTGTTTTCCTTCACTAGGTCCATGGAAGGTGCATGTGTAAGCACAATACAGCAGGCCACCACTGTCAGCTCTGTGCTCCACTCTACAATGACCAGCCCTGGCAGGCTGCAAATGGCAAAACTGGAGCCCCAAAAGAATGCCGATGTAAGTAACTGATTGATGAAAGTGCCTCAAGACTGTCAGCATAAATGAAATTCCTTATCACACCCCTTTCTCTGATATTTCAAAAAGGTACCCAATAGTCAGACGACAGACAGCTGTTTGTGAAGTAACTTAGTGAGTAGAGAACCGACGCCAGCACCCACCACGTGTTTAAACATTGGTAACTGCTCTGTTTGCAAAGCTGCTAGCATGTAAATTCTACCAAGAACATGTTAGGTATTTGCTTGGCTTTCTTGTGGAATCAAAGCATAACTACTTGAGATGCTGAGCTTCTATTGCAGGCACAGTGCCGTTAAATAGACTGTACTGGACACTGGATAAGAGACAGAACTACAGATAAAGCGTTGGCACAGCTTTCAGTGTCTGGCTTTTCAGTATAAAGTAGAATCAGCCACAACTAACAACTGTTTGTATAATACACTATAAATTAATGAAGATGTACTTTTGTTGCGGGGAGGGGAGGCGTTATTTTTCCATTTTAGGTATTGCCAGGAGATTTTAAATGTTGGTATTTAATATCTAATGTTAAAGATTAAGGCCAACATTGTTTAAAGTGTCCACTAATTTGGTGTGCATGAAGTTCTGGGTGCCTAACTTGTCACTTTTAGGGCTGGGTTTCAGAGTTTCTAAGTACTCGTATTTCCAAATGAAGTGAACAAGAGCTGTAGGCACTCAGCAGCTCTAGAAGAATCAGCTCTGAAGTGTCTTAGCTGGTGCCACTCAATAAATCCACAACTCTAGTTGTTGCTATATACACAGGGCGTTCTCCAGAAAGGCCTCAGGGCTTCGGAATGTCCTCCTGCCCCTGGTCTGAAATAGCTCAGATTTGCCATCTTGCATGTTTTCCCTGGCTTTTGAAGGCGTTGGGGTAGACTGAAATACTGGCCAGTGTGTTGATGTAGTATTATTTGTATTTAGAGCTGCTCCTGGATAGAAGGGTGAGCTGACTGCAATTTGTGTTTCATTTTGGAATATTCAGTGATTGGCGGATTTCTCAGACCCTGTGTATGTGTAACCCTTGTGCTTTATACTGCAGTCGTTTATTTTTCAGTCCAAAGTTTCAAAGCCAAACCTTCTGCCCGTGAATCATGTACTTATTCCTCCCTCCCTCTCAGTCGCTCTTGTATTTATAACATTTTCTGCTGAGCTCTGGTTGGCTCATGTCTCAGACAGAGATTCTGTAAGACCTGCCTGACCATAATGATGACTTTCTATGAAGATTTAAGAAATCTACTGAATATGCTCAGTAGATACCACATGCTTCTGGATGTCTCTGGACATCTGCTCTCTGAATATGTGCAGAGACACAGATAATTTGGACATATCCATTCACCTTGCCAACGCTACTCTCTTTTTCTTTGGACTTAAAAATAAGATGTTGCTTTATATAGTATATACTTGCATTTGGGCCGTCTTTTAGTGTTCTAAATTGAAAGAAAAAATAAATTAATAATTAAAGAATTTGATGAAAGTGTCATTCTCTAGAAGTAACAAATTCGTGAATGAAAATCATAAAACTATAGAAATGTAGGGCTGAAAGGGACCTCCAGAAGTCATCAAGTCTAGCCTCTGTGCTGAGGCAGGACCAAGTATACCAAGACCATCCCTGACAGGTGTTTGTCCAACATGTTCTTAAAAACCTCCAATGATGGGGATTCCACAACCTCCCTTGAAAGCCAATTCCAGAGCTTAACTACCTGTATAATCAGAACGTTTTTCCTTACATCTAACCTAAATCTCCCTTGCTGAAGATTAAGCCTATTACTTCTTGTCCTACCTTCAGTGCACACAGAGAACAATTGATCACCATTCTCTTTACAACAGCCCTTAATAGATTTGAAGATTGTTATCATGTACCCCCATCCATCTTTTTTTCTCAAGGCTAATGTTACCCAGTTTTTAAAATCTTTTTTCATAGGTCAGGCTTTCTAAACCTTTTATAATTGTTGTTCCTCTCCCGGGACTCTCTCCAATTTGTCCACATCTTTCCTAAAGTATGGCACTCAGAACTGGACACAATACTCCAGCTGAGGCCTCACCAGTGCCTAGTACAGCAAGACTCCTGTGTTTTACATGCAACACCCCCGTTAATACACACCAGAATGGTATTGGCCTTTTGTGTAACTGAATCACATTGCTGACTCATATTCGAGTTGTGATCCACTCTAACCCTCAGATTCTTTTCATCAGTATTACCACCTAGCCAGCTATTCCTCATTTTGTAGTTGTATATTTCATTTTTCCTTCCTAAATGTAATACTTTGCACTTGTCTTTATTAAACTTCATCTTGTTGATTTCAGACCAGTTCTCCAGTTTGTGTAGCTTGTTTTGAATTTTAGTCCTGTCTTCCAAAGTGCTTGCAACCCCCCTCCACCCCCCCCCCCACACATATCTTGGTGTCATGTGCAAATTTTATAAGCATACTCTCTACTCCATGATCCAAGCAGGGGTGAAAGTAGCACAGAGGACTTACAAGTACAGGGGCCTGGCTCCGGGCCCTTGGAAGGGGTGGGGCCTCGGGCGGAATGGGCGGGGCTGGGGTGGTCAGCCTCCCCCAGCCAGCCCATCTGCGCTGCCTGGCCCACGCTGCCCGGGGTTCCGGCGGTGATTTAAAAGGGCCCAGGGCTCCAGCCACTGCCACAGTAGCAGCGGCAGCTGGGAGCCCCTGGGCCCTTTTAAATTGCCGGGCCCAGGGGCAGCCGCCCCTTTTGCCCTCCAGGTCCCTACCAGCAGGGCTGCTGCCCGGGGTTGTGTGGCAGCAATGTTAAAGCGCTGCTGCGGTAGCACTTTAACATTGGCAGCATACAGGCCAGTACCGGCAGCCCCTTCTTACCGGTACTCCCAGCCCCTACTGGCCTACTTTCACTCCTGTATCCAAGACATTATGAAAATATTGAATAGTACTGGACCCAAGACATCTGTGGGATCCAACTAGATATACCCTCCCAGTTTGACATCAGAACATTGATAACTGCTCTTTGAGTACAGTCTTTCAAACAGTTGTGCACTGACATGATAGTAATTTCATCTAGACCAGGGGTGGAAAAACATTTTGGCCTGAGGGCCACCTCTGGGTATAGAAATTGTATGGTGGGCCATGAATGCTCAGGAAATTAACAATTCAGAGATATTCAAATAATCTTTATTTAATAAAGATACATTTTAGTGGAAATAAACATTAAACCTCACTTACTATTATAAATATACTGTCATAAAGTATTACGATAATTAAACCAAACTTACCTCCTTTCCAATCCCTCTTTGATTAATGTGAACAATGCAGCCTGCACTCCCTGGCCACCTACTCTTTGGTTTATCTTCAACAATGGAAAATTAACACTATTAAAACAGCAGAGTCACCTAAGCCAAGAAGTAGCAGACACATGGGCTTGCACCTTCCAGGCTCTGGTAGCACGTTTGGGTTGTGCAGCTGCAGTAACATGCATTCCCTCACGTAGGTTCCACCTGAACACGTGGGAGCGTCGGGCAGGCAGAGCGGGGCAAGCCCCCGACCCCACTCCCTGGCAGGAGTGCCTGAGCAGGGCCAGCTCCTGACCTCGCTCCCGGGGGGCCAGATTAAAAGGGCTGAGGGGCCGGAGTTTGCCCACCTCTGGTCTAGACCTCATTTTCCTAGTTTGCTTATGAGAATGTCGTGTGGGACTATGTCAAAAGCCTTACTAAAATCAAGATATATCACATCAACTGCTTCCTCCCATCCACTAGGCCAGTAACCCTGTCAAAGGAGGGAATTAGGTTGGTTTCCATGTTTTGTGATAATGTGAAAGTTCTTTATATATTTGAATTTATGAAGTTTTTATAAATGAGGCCCATTGTTCTAACATTTGGTTTTGAGTGCTTTATTTTTTATTTGCAAGGACCTTCAGCATACATCAGAATCCATATTATTTTCTTCCATGAGCATTCTGCATGTTACTCAAAACCATATCTACCGAGCCTGAACATAATCCGGTTAAATAAGAATAGGTGTTAATTCTGTAAATTTAAAGAAGTGTACCTAAGAAAATGAAGAAAATAAACAATATTGACAAGATGTTGAAGGACTTAAATTTTATTAAAATATGAATCCCTAATTCATTAGACTCAAACCAACATAACTCGCCTATGGCCCCCCAACAGGGCATGGGTCTCACTTGCAAGATTCCGTGAACAATTAGTAACACTGGAAATGCAAGTGCTGGTATAACTGGGTACTTTTTTTAAAGACATCTGCTGGCCTGTATGTACATTTGATTTCCTTTGTTGCTTCTGCTACTGCTGTACTGTATGTTCATTTTTCAGCATTTGCATTAATCTTTTATACACACCACAATCTTTCCTCTTTTTAATGAGTCTTTTTGTTTCCTTTGGCTTGATCCCAGCATGTAAATGTAATGGGCATGCTGACATGTGTCATTTTGACATGGATGCATGGCTGGCCTCAGGGAATCGCAGTGGTGGAATCTGTGATAATTGTCAACACAACACTGAAGGGCAGCATTGCCAACGTTGCAAGCCAGGCTTCTACCGAGATCTCAGAAGGCCTTTCTCTGCCCCAGATGCCTGCAAATGTAAGTCACTGTCAATTAACTGATAAAATACCAACTGAAACTTGAGGGTTAAATACTAGAAGACAAGATCCTCCCATCTTTCATTTGTGCTGCTTTAGCAGAGGGCTATAAGTTCTTAACAGTATATTTATTTCTTCATCTTTGGGTTTGTTTAATGCTATTTACAAAAACCAGTAGAGTTTGCCAGACTAGGGGTCAGCAGATGCTGTTAACAAATCAGCACTCTGGCTCTCTGTAATTTAGTATTATTTATACACTGGATTGGCTGACAGCTGCCTCTTCACTTAAATGAGGATTCCTGAGCATTCTTCTGCTGTTTTTGGAGAACAGATCTCCGTATCGGCACATCTTCTTCATTAATGTTGGCAGAAGCCCTGAAATGGATGGTTTGACCAAAAGTGGATGGAATTAGCAAAAACCAACAACCCTAATTCATCTGACTCTCAGAAGCAGGTGGATCTGAAGGGGAAATTTCCGTGTGAGTTAACATTATTCCAGCAAGTTTGACTCTGGTGGGATTCCTGAGTTATATAGTCCACAGGGAGATCCAAATGCAAAAATCACCCAGGAACATTCTGAGGATTTGTGACTTGTAGAGAACTTCAAATCCACAAACCACATTCAATGGATTACACTGAGAGAGAAATGTAGTGAGCCAAGTAATGCTCTCAGCTACACAGCTACACACTCCACTGATTTCACAAGATTTACACTGGCATAAGAGAGCATAATCTGGTGCTGTCACTTCATATGTGGCAGACAGAATCTGGCTCCTGTACTGTTGGTGTTGTTTAAGGGAAAATTGTATCCATCTTCTTCAGAAAGCACTGCAAGAATCCCTTCTCAGAGGAGAGAAATTGGCAGTATCCTTTGAAACTGTAGAGTTGCATTCTGTGGTTGAATATGGCATGTGGCTCCCATTGGCTTCACTTGGAGTTGTGTGGCAACTAACCTTTTCATCTCACTGGCCACTTACTTGTTCCACTGTGGCTTTCTGCTGCCCCAGCCAGCTGGCAGAGGGATCTAGTCTCCTCTGGATGTTTGATTTCACTAACTGGAGAGATGTGTGTCTAGCCCAGATAATACACCTTGTATAGTTTACCAACCTGATTCCTCTTAGAATACAGTTTATGAAAACGTATGTGACCTCAATCCTTCATTACACAGGTAAATAATATTTTCATGTTATAATATATAGACAACACAATATTTACTTCAAATATTTTCCTAGTATCCCTTTGCCTACTTCCATTACCTACTTTGCAGTCTCTAGTCTCTTCATCTGTGATATCAGATATTTTTCTTCAATAATTATTGCCAGGTCATATACAAGGGTGTTTTTGTTTTGTACTCCCATTCAGAAAGTACGGGTTAGAACCCTGGATTCAGCCGCTCACTTTCTAGGGGTCTTTTCCAACTCCCATCTTCACTAGGAAAAAAGGTGCATTCTTACCTCATATTAACTGACACATGGCAACTATCACGAGGTAAAATCCATGAAAAGGCAATTTTCAGATGACAGCAGATCACACTAAATGCTTTGGGGGAACCTAGGATTTATGTTGGCCTGATGTGTTAGAGGTACAACTGCCATGTCTTCACTAGGATTTTACCTCATGTTTGTTACCACACCTTTTTTTCTCGCGAAGACAAGGCCACTGAAGCCAATCTAAGTTTTTGCATTGACTTCAATGGGAGTTGAATGTGGCCTTGGGAGCACTGGAGAAGCAGCAAAATCCACCTTGGAGATAGAAGGAGTGGGTTGTATCTGTACACTGGTAGTGCCCGTTGCTTGACAAATCTAGGAACTGAACTGAAATGTTTTACAAAGAGAGTATCATTCAGTCCTCCCAGGTCTAATAGTTCCAGTGCAAACCTTGCCTAGTTTGGGAAGGGCCATTACTGACTGGGGTCTAGCACAGAGAAAACCTGCTTGCAAAAATAAGTATCAGTGTAATTATTGGAAAGTTCCACTCCAAAATGGAGATCATGATTCAAATGGAAAAATTCCAGTGTGTATAGAAAAAATCAAACTAACAATCAACCGTCATGTCACAGAATTAATTATCTGTAAGTATCACCGCTGACACTAAATCCTAAGAGACTGCTAAGATCCTGGCTAAAAACCTTAGCAATCTTGGCAGGAGGCAGACTTATGCAGATGCTATGATTAATGGATATTTTTACTGACACAATGGTGGACATAAGCCCTGCTGCACAGTCACGTCAGTTTCCTTCATCACTGACCCTAACGTTCTACTTTTTTCATGCATTTCATTTTTAAAAAGTGCAAAATGTTATATGCCTGACATCAAGGCTAGGATTTTGTCCCCTAACATTGTCTCTTAAAAAATGTCACTAGAAAATCCATTTAAAGAACCCTCTATGTTTAGGAACTCTGTGGTATTTAAATCCCAAAGATAATGTATGTTTAAAATAACTCATAAGACAGCAATTATTACAGTAAGACAAAGTCTTAATAATTTACCTTTTGCATTAATAGTGTCTACTTTGCTACTGTTATTATTTGAGAACATATTAGGGCTTGTCTACGTGGAGATTCAGGAAAATTAATCCAAATTAACTAAAGGTGTGAATTTGAAGTGGATTAGTTAAACCACATTAAATCCCTGTGTGTCCTGAATGCAGTTTCGTTTATTCACTTTGGAAGTGAATTAAGATAAACTGAATTAAGGTCACTTTATTTCTGAATGACGGCGTTCACTCAGGGGTTTAATGCAGTTTAACTAATCCACTTCAAATTGGCTATGTCTACACTACCACTTAACTCAGTATAAGGGCTAATCTACACTGGCAATGCTAAAATGCTGCCACAGCAGTGCTTTAACGTGCCTTGTGTGGTCGCAGCGCAGCGCTGTGAGAGAGCTCTCCCAGCGCTCTAAAAAACCCACCTCAATGAGGGGTGTAGCTCCTGGTCACTGTCTACACTGGCACTTTACAGCCTTGCAACTTGCTGTGCTCAGGGGCGTATTTTTTCACACCGTGAGCGAGAAAATTGCAGCGCTGTTAATTGCCAGTGTAGACAAGCCCTAATTTATGTCGCTCAGAGGTGTGAATAAGCCACCCTCCTCTGCAGCATAAATTACACCAACCTAAATGCCAGTGTAGACAGCACTATGTTGGTGGGAAAGCTTCTCCTGCCAACATAGCTACCGCCGCTCATTGAGGATGGATTAATTAAATCGACAGGAGAGCTCTCTCCCATTGACTTACAGCCGCTCCACTGCATCGATGCAGCTGTGCCACTGCAAGCTCTCTAGTGTAGCCATAGCCTTAGTTAATTTGGATTAATTTTCCTGTGTAGACAGGCCCTTAGTTACAGAACATTGAGTATTTGTTCAACTCAATAAAATAATTTTGACAGAATTAAGCTGATTTCATGAAGATTTATATAACTTTAGAATGTTACACTTCACATAGGACATTACAACAAACTCAAATTAATAGGGCAAAGATGACTTTATTTGGGGGAGGCAAAGACTTGAAATCTCCTATAAATGCTCTTCTGGACACCCCACAACTCCAGATTCCCCTTAGTGCTTTCCTTTTTGACCTCCTCCTCTTGGCCAGTTTACTTTCCATTCCAGAATGGGCCACGCAGCTAGAGCTGGGCAGGAAATTATTTTCCCCATCCTGTTAGAGTTTGAGATTTCAGATTTTTTTCTCTCTTCCGGAATGGTACGAAAATCAAAATCTCAGAACTTTTCACTCACTGATAATCCAGATAACTAACTAACTAACTAAAGAGATACATTTGGAGTGGATCAATTGGAACATTGTGTTTCAATAATTTTGAAGCATTTTGTTTCAGTTTTGACTTTTTAAACTTTTTTAGAATAAACTACAATTTTAAAACAAAATCATTTCAAATAAAAAAACGAAACTTTTTTTTTTTAAAATAGAAATGGGGCCTTTTTGATAATTTTTAAACTTTTTTTTTAATTGAAGCAGGAAGTTTGTCAAAACTGACCCTTTCTTGCAAATAGTTTTGGTTTCGATGAATCAGTGTTTTCTGACAAAAAATATTTCTTTGGAAAATTTCCAATCCTGTCTCAGCAACTCCTTCTACGCCCTCCATTCCTGTCTTCACACCCATCAGAGCCTTACAAGCAGCCATCTTCATCTGTGGGGAGCTCACAGTGCAGTACTGGGGGATGGGGGACACAGAGAGTGTAATGTTTCAGGTGAGACTGGTGTTTCCTGTATGGAATATTTCAGTGCCCCAAAAGTTTTCAAGAGTCTTCCTCATAGAGGGTTAGTGGTATTTTGGTTAGCTCCAGTGAACAGCAAATGAATGAACATGGTTAGATGAACCTACATAATTCTGATTAAAGTCTGTGCATGAAACGTTTCAAAGTCTTGTGTTGTGCATGGTTTGTAGTAACAAGGGACATGTCTGATAACCTTTTATTCTTATAGAGAAGACTGTAGAATGCTGTACTTAGCTCAAATCAACATTATTGCTCAACCACAGAGTAGCAATGAAAATTAAAACGGCACCAAGGTCAAAGTAAATAAAGGAGTTGTTAGGCCGTAATCTTTAAAGATACTTTTAGGTTAGTAATGTATAATATTTGCTCAGGAGAAGGTGTGTACCAGATAAAACAAGGCATTCTACCATTTAACATAGCAATCTGACTGAAGGTAACTCCCTTTCCCTTCCCCTACCTCCAATTTTATTTTATATCCCTCATGGATTTTGAAGTCCCAGCTACAGTGTAACCAGGGACAAGAAATCAAGTTTCATAATTGCTGGGTTTCTTTTTGCTTTTGCACTACAGGGATTTTAGGGTAAATATTTGGTGTTTCCAAAGGTCACTGGCAGCTCCAAAAAACAAAACCTTCATTCATAACACAGAGCTAAGGAGGAACTCCTGATCCTCATTGAAGTCAATGGCAAAACTCCCATTGACTTCAACAGGTGCAGGATTTCAGCCTAGATGTTTCCCCACACAATCCTATTCCCATACAGCACCTCC